TCCCCATTATCCACAAACTTCTGCCCACATTCTAATACTGCATTTTAAAACTATTCCAACCCTCTTCAACCCCCCACTACTCATCTTTGCACTAGCCCACCTTTCTGCCAATAGTCGCTTATATATATATATATATATATTATATATATATATAAAATATATATATATATATATATATATATATATATATATATATATATATTATATATATAACACACACCACACACACACACACACATTGTTAGGAAGTATTTCTTCAGCCACAGAGTAGTCAGGGAGTGGAATAGTTTGGGAAGTGATGTAGTGGAGGCAGGATCTGTACATAGCTTTAAGCAGAGGTATGATAAAGCTCACAGTTCAGGGAAAGTGACCTAGTAGCAATCAGTGAAGAGGCGGGGCCAGGAGCTCGGACTCGACCCCTGCAACCTCAACTAGGCGAGTACAACTAGGCGAGTACATACACACACATATATATATATACACACACACACACAATGTATATACACACATGTATACATCCATATATTCATACATAAACACACGCATGTACAAGTATACAAAAACACAATGCCTGATACAGCTCGGCCCCTGCAACCACAACTAGGCGAGTACAGTTCATGATAAGTGGAATGTATCCTAAAGAAAATATTAAGAGTTACATATTTGTCCATTTACCTAAACTGATTTATCGGTATAGTCATACAGTTCCTTTCATACACAATCCGGACAACCACTGTACATAAATATACAGCACTTACACATCTCAGTCCATCGTGCCTAAACCCAAGTATTATTCCCTACCTTTGTACATACATATCTACACAAGTGTATGACCTGCATATATGGACTGTGAAAATTTGTTTGGACTGCCTCCAAGTGAGTCGCCTACCCTGGCAAACTCTGTTGACACCGAGCTCTGAGGTGGGTACCTCAGCCTCACAAGTGGCTTATAGGACAGATTTCCACAAATGATTGGTATTGCAAGAAACCTCGCCTGCATGCACGTATAAAGGACTAACTTACTTGGTGTTGCAGCATATATCCTGATCTTCACTTCCCTAAGCTAGCCTTAGCCCCTTTGGACTCCCCTCAGAAACCACGTGCAACCGGGAGCATTAATTCCTGCAATATTCAATCGTAATTAGTGTCCTGCCTGCACCTCAGAAATTCCTATATCCAAGAGGGTATGTATCCCCTAGTATAACTATGCAGACTCAGACACTAGCTTCTAGACTGCTCTGAGACACTGGTATTTACTGGGCATGCTCTGCCAGCTGCAACACAGGCCCACAGATAAACTCACTCACAATCTCCCCAGACTGGCCAGAAATCTACGAGATAAAGGAGGTCTTGTCTTACTGTATGGGCCTGACGGAGGAGGTCATCTACGGTACATCGAGGTGCCTCTACCAGATTTCCCCAGGTCTCAAATGTGAAGACACGTGGGGGCGCCGTCTGCTGATCACGGCACGTCTTGTCCAGTTGGTGTCTGTCTTAAGAAGGACACTATTCTGTCTGTGACCCGCGCCTCGTCATTCAAGCTAGGGCTGCCAGTTCTCCCTAGCTAACTTATCCTAGTGTTTGCCTACATTAATGGCCTATTACTACCTATGTTAAGGTCTTAGGTCTACATTATTATCTACATTTGCCTTAGTAAACCTAATATTAATATACTATCAGTAGAACTACCTACTCCTTCCCTGAAGAGTAAATCTATAAATTAAATACATGCCTACCAAGAATCCATCGCCGACAAGAGAATGCTTCCCTGTTTGGGTGGGGTATAAGGGCCATCCAGCTCAGCCGTCCCATACGGCCATGCTGGATCTGCCCTGTGGAATTTTAGGGACCAAATAAATTTCCACGTGTCATTAGTAACGTAAATCACAATTATGCCTTTTATGAGGAGCTTGGTACAGACTCCGGAACCCCAATGATAAAATATGATCTTACCTCAATTACGGTTTTGTTCTCCTCAGAGACTAGGAGGCAGGTGGTGTAGGAGGAGGTGAGCATGTTGATGAAGAGATCGTTGGCCAAAACATCTAACTTTTTCACTTCTTCTCCTTGCACATTCACGTCACCAGCCAAACCATACCTGGCCAAAACACATTTTTACTCGTATACCTTTGGGTTTGACACTCAACATGTTCAAGGAATAAATGGTCTAGATCCAGAACTAGATATTTCTAAGATGGAGAATTTGTTAACAATTAAATTAGAAGGTTCTAAATGGGCCTATTAATAATGTATTAGTACAGAGCAGTACCTGGGAAAAATCGGATGAACAAATTATGAACTAAAAGGAACTTCCATAGCAGACTATCTTCACTGTAGATGAATACAAACTAAAATTTACCTGAAATAGTTAGCTCATTTAACCTTTCTTACCCCCAACCCCTCTCTTTCCTGTCTACCCACAACTTTTTTGTTATAGTTATCATACTCAAATCCTTCCCCCTCTCCATTTTTTCTATCACTTATGACTTCCATTCCCCCATGCACTGTACGACTCCCACGGGTTCAGCGCTTCCCATATTTATAATATAGTGCTGAACCTTCTACGAATAAGCTACAAATTCTAAGTGGAAAGTTATACGCATACCAGCAAATTGGAATAAATTAAAACACTAATACAGTATGCAAACTTTACAAAAGCCTGTGTCTCTAAGACTGGAGCTTGAAAAAGCTCATACGTGAGTCATCTATAGTTTCCATTCTCCATTAAAGTGTCTCAGTGTATTACAATAAGCTACAGGAGATACCTAGCCCAATGAATAGTCCATTAGCTCTTGTAAAGCATGCTTCACTATTACTGATTAAAAAGTAATTCTGGGACACGCAAGCCGACTCTTTTCAAACTCTCCGCCCACTTCATGGAGACTCAATGAAGAGGGAAGGAACAAGATAATTCATAAACTGATTCAATCATACAGTAAAACTGTAATGCTGAACAATCTCATTCAATAACGAATGTTTAGGAAAATTCATAGAAATAAAAGGATCTTTAAAATATAAGATGTATTATTATAGCCATAAGGAATCACTAAACCCATATGTGGAAATTATTTTGGGCTACCAAAATATTCCACGAAACGTTTCATTGTGTATAAGCTTTATGAACCCTTAACATACCCACTTACCTTAACACATGTACATAATATTTATCTTTCTAAGAAGATTATGAAGGCACACAAGTAGTGAATAACCGTTGAAATTATTAATACGGTTATAGGAAATAAAATAGATAGGATTAGGTTAATATAGTAGTATTAGTTAGAGAGCTAGCGATTCAAAATCTGAATGAAGTCAGTCAAAAGACGCTAGATAATCAGTTACATCTCGCAGGTCATAGAAAAGATGTGACATACGAGTTACCAGAAAACCAGCATTAATTCATCTGAATTGGGGGACGGCAAGTCCAACGAAGCTTCCCAAGTACTGAGGGGTACTCGTATCCAGGCGAGCCTAGCGGACTAGACTTTCATTTCCTGTCAGCATAACTGGCCAATCTTTCCTCGGAAATGTGGGTTGAGAACGTTCGCAGGGCTATTTAGGAGGACAAACGAAGCACCAGAAGTTCGCCACTGATGAGGTACAGTGGACCCCCGAGTTTCGTGATTAATCCATTCCAGTCTACCAAAAGTCGGAATTCACGAATGTTGACACCATTTTCCCACATAAGAAATAATGTAAATCCAATTAATCCATTCCAGATACCCAAAAGTATTAACAGAAAACATTTTTTAATAGATTCAATATAGATTTACATACAGAAAAGAATGAGAAATCAAGTATAGAACAATAATATCATGCTTACCTTTACTGAAGACTTGTTGGTGTATGGAAGACAGGAGGGGGGATGGAGAAGTTACATAAAAACTTTAGGTACCAAGTCCTTATCCAGGGTTAATTCCCTTCGTTTTTTAATGCCACTAGAACCAGCTTGAGAGTCACTGGACCCCTGTTGCTCAAAATATTGTTCCAGAGAGCTCTGTTTCTGGCATCTCTTTAAAATTTGCCTAAAATGGGACAAGGCATTGTCACTGTACATGTTGCAGACAAGGCTTGCAACAGCTTTGTTAGGGTGATGTTTCTCCACATATGTTTGTACCCTACTCCACGATGCACAAATCTCCTTAATCTCTGAAGAAGGCACCTTCTTCCATCTCTCTTCCTCCTTCTCTGAAGCAATTTTCCCAGCTGTGGTCTGTTGCTGTTGCAGATGAAGCTCTTGCAGCTCTTCATTGTGGTCCTCCACCAACTCTTCCACATCTCGCCACTCACATCTAACCCCACGGAATTCCCCAATGCCACAATAGATTCCACAACAGGTGTAGGGTCGACTGGGTCAGCCTGAAACCCTTCAATATTCTTGAGGACACATTCTGGCTAGTTTTCTCCAAGTAGAGTTCGAAGTCCTGGAAGTCACTCCCTGCCAAGCCTCATCTATAAGGCTTATGCAATTGAGGATATTGAAGTGATCCTTCCAGCACTCTCTTAGGGTCAATTCAGTGTCTGAGGTCACATCAAAGCACCTTTGAAACACTGCTTTGGTATACACTTTTTTGAAGTTTGAAATGATCTGCTGGTCCATGGGCTGGATGAGAGGAGTAGTATTAGGGGGCAAGAACTTCACTGTGATGAAAGTAAACTCCACCATTTGGTCATCCAAGTCTGGAGGATGAGCAGGAGCACTGTCCATTACCAGGAGGCACTTGAGTGGCAATTTTTTTTCCAGGAGGTATTCCTTCACACTCGGGCCAAACACTTCATTGAACCAATCATGGGAAATTTCCCTTGTGACCCATGCCTTACTGTTAGCCTTCCACATGACACACAATTTACTCCTGGAGACATTGTTTTTCTTGAATACTTGGGGATTTTCAGAGTGATACACCAGTAAAAGCTTCACTTTTAAATCCCCTCTAGCATTACCACAGAATAAAAGTGTTAGCCTGTCTTTCATAGGCTTGTGTCCTGGCAGTGCCTTTTCCTCCTGCGTGATGTATAACCTCTTTGGCATTTTCTTCCAAAAGAGGCCTGTTTCGTCACAACTGAACACTTGTTGGGGGAGGAATCCTTTATCCTCTACGTACACCTTTAATTCATGCACGAATTTTTCAGCCGCACATTTGTCAGAACTGGCAGCCTTGTCATGCCGTACCACACTGTGTATGCCACTAAATCAGGAGCCCCTCGCCAGCATCAAGGAACCTCCCTTGAGGGAAATACAAGATGTGGTAGTCCATCGAACTGTTATAGTCGCATTTTTATGATTTATAACTTTAATGAAGTCACGTACAGATAGGCTGTCTCCTTCAACTTTCAATTTGACTGAATTACAATAATTACTCACTCACTCACTCTCACTCACTCTCACTCTCTCTCACTCTCTCTCACTCTCTCTCACTCTCTCTCACTCTCTCTCACTCTCTCTCACTCTCACTCACTCTCACTCACTCTCACTCACTCTCACTCACTCTCACTCACTCTCACTCACTCTCACTCACTCTCACTCACTCTCACTCACTCTCACTCACTCTCACTCACTCTCACTCACTCTCACTCACTCTCACTCACTCTCACTCACTCTCACTCACTCTCACTCACTCTCACTCACTCTCACTCACTCTCACTCACTCTCACTCACTCTCACTCACTCTCACTCACTCTCACTCACTCTCACTCTCTCTCACTCTCTCTCACTCACTCTCACTCACTCTCACTCACTCTCACTCACTCTCACTCACTCTCACTCACTCTCACTCACTCTCACTCACTCTCACTCACTCTCACTCTCTCTCACTCTCTCTCACTCTCTCTCACTCTCTCTCACTCTCTCTCACTCTCTCTCACTCTCTCTCACTCTCTCTCACTCTCTCTCTCTCTCTCTCTCTCTCTCTCTCTCTCTCTCACACCACACACAACACACACACACACACACACACACACACACACACACACACACACACACACACACACACACACACACACACACACACACACACACACACACATTCATTTCGACTACAGAATTCACGCACTCAAGTTTCTGTTCCAGTGATTCACGAAATCGCAGTAACACGATTGCATACAACCGAGCCCATGTGGTATCTGGAGTTTATCTGGAGAGAGTTACGGGGGTCAACGCCCCCGCGGCCCGGTCTGTGACCAGGCCTTCTTAGGTCAGTGTCCCAGGATGCGACCCACACCAGTCGACTAACACCCAGGTACCCATTTTATTGATGGGGAACATAGACAACAGGTGGAAAGAAACACGTCCAAGTTTCTACTCTGGCTGGGAATCGAACCCAGGCCCTCACCGTGTGAAGCGAGAGCGTTAACCACCAGGCCACCAGAGCCCCTGTAAAAATCTACACTTGTGGTCACCGTAGGGCCTTTCCTGTAGTGTGAAAAAATACACCTAGTTTGAATTTTAACAGCGGGTTTTGAGGGGTTTTAAAAGCACGGCCCCGGAGTTTTAGAACTCCCCTGCCAGAGTTCGACCCAAATTCTTTCCATAATTTTTTTTTCCCTCCACTTAGTGACCCGAGTTACCACCCCTTTTGGGTTCCCCCTCAAACGTTTTTTCCAAATCCCCACCCCTGAGTTTCGATTATTATTATTATAGTTTCACATGTACAATGCATACAGGCCTGCTGACAAAAAAGACTACTACGTATTACATGAAAGCCCCTTTTTAGCAGAGTTTCCCCGGGCAAATTTGATCATTTTGTCTCAGTGCAACCCCACCAGTGGGCTAACACCCAGGCACCTATTTACTGATAGGTGAACAAGGCAGCACTGATTTAAGGGAAACTAGTCAAATGTTACCACCCCTAGCGGGGCTGGGCCATGGACTTCAGTGGGTGACCCGAGAAACGCTAGCAATCGAGCTTAAATGTTTAAAAAAGTACAAAATTTTTTATGATTTTATTAAATACAATTGGAAAGTGAAAACCGGGTGGCATTTTTTTTGCATTTTCATACCCCCACCAAATTTTTGCCAACAAAACGGGTACTTTAACTATTTTACTGGCATTAATTTTGGGGTTTTTAAATTAAACCCCACATTATTTAAGAACCTAGCAAATA